GTGTTTTTCATTCGTTTCTTTCCTCTTTTTCTTTCTTCCTGTTTTGGTTTTCTTTTTCTTCACTTGTTTTCGTTCTTTTACTTCATTTCATTTATCCTATATTCCTTTTTCTTTTCTTTCTTTCATTTTTATTTCTATTTTTCCTTTCTTTAGATGTCATTTCATTATCATCTTTCATTTTTCATAATTTTCATTCGTTTATGATCTTTCTTCAAATACCCCTTCTTTCTTTTTTTTTATTTACTTTATTCTTTCTTTCATGTTTTCATTCATTCTTTCTTTTATTTTTTTTTCATTCGTTCTTTCCGTCATTTTTATATTCCTTCTTTCTTTCATTTTTTAATTTGTTCTTTCTTTCATATTTTCATTTGTTCTTTCTTTCTAATTCCTTTTCACTTTCTGTTAATTCTTTCTGTTACTTTAAAAGTTATTCTTTCTTTCTTCTTTTCAGTCTTTCTTTCATTCTCTCTTTTTCTTTTATTCCTCTTTTTCATTCATTCTGTGTTTCTCTGTTCCCTTCTTTCCCCCTTTATTTGTTCTTTCTTTTTCCTTTATTATTCATTTTTTTTTATTTCTCCTTTCAGTTATTTATTTCTCCTTCTTCTTCTTCTTCTTCTTCTTATTATTATTATTATTATTATTATTATTATTATTATTATTATTCATTCTTTCATGCTTTGTATATATTATTAATTCATGCTTTCTCCTTTCCATGTTTTCATTCATTCTTTCTTTATACTTTTCATTCATTCGTTCATTCATTATCACTTTTATTCAATTTCTTGCATTCTCCCTCTCTTTCCTTCTTTCTTTGCACTTTTCTCTCTAAATCATTCTTTTTTTCTTTACTTCACATTAATTCTACCTTTTCTTTCCTTTTTATTCTTCCTTTCTTTTTCTGTTCTTTTTCCTGATCATTTATTGCAATCTTTCATTGATTTTTTTCTTCTAGCACAATCTGTCTCTCCCAATCCGCCTTTTTCACCTCTTTCTTTTTCGCTCGCCATTTTAATGTTCTTGTCAAATTCGACCAGTAATTCCTTTTGCTCTCAGGTTGCATTTACGCTCATAAATGTTAAAAGAGCCTATCAAATATGTTATCTACGCGAATGCAGGTTAGATCAAAGTATATTTATCTACGCTTTAATCTATTAAAAATTGACAATGATAGCATTTGATATAATTTAGCATTTTGTTGTAAAATAAACTATAATGACATTAAGAACAAACTCATTACAAGAGGTTCGGGTAGCTTAACGGTTATCTGCGCAGAAAGTGAAACACGAGAAGCTAGTTTAAATTCCAGTTTGGTCTATTTTGTTTTACGGCACATCAATACCTCAGTGGGTTACTTAATGCCGACAAAATTTTTATTGCTGGTAATTTTTTTTTTCAAAAATATATTGCTGGTAATACTTTTTCTTCAAAAATGCATTGCTGGTAATATTTCTAATCAATGTGTTTTTCACCACAAAAAGACACTCAAATTCATCGTAGATAATGGCTGTAGGACAACAAATCGTCAGTGGAGACAATAGTGTCTGGGCGTGATAAAAATCTGATATTGCACACAGAGTAGGCATGAACCTATTTCTCCTTTCAAGCCCAGTCATGAGTTAAATCGTAAAATAGACTGGACACTTTCTATAGCAATCATTATACACAAATAATAAATTCTTTAAAAAATTATGTAAATTTCCTTGATTATAATTAATGTAAAAAATGTTAAAAGTATTTGTTACTATAAATTATATACATGTAACTTTGAATTAAAAGGTAAAATAAAAGGAAATATTGAATGAAATGTCTTTGAATGCACAAAACTAACCTAGTCTCTTGCGTTTTAAATAGCAGACAATCAATAAAAAGGACAACTTCAAATACCAAAACGTTGAGAAAACTATGGGAAAATATTAAATTTATAAAGATTCGATGGAAATACACAGATGATAAAGAAAATGAATCTGAGGAGAAGGCAACGAGGAACTACTCCACTATCTTTCCCAAGAAATCATGACATTTCACAGATGAGAAAAAGAAACTGTAGAGTGTTATGATCATTCCTGAAGAGTAAATAATTTTTTATATATTAAACATTTTTTATTATAATCCGTCATAGAAGAGAGAAAGAAAAGGGAAGAAAAGAATAACAGAAGGAGAAGAATAAAGTAAAAAGAATGGGATAAGGGATATAAGGGGGTAGAAAGATGATAGGAAGAAGAAGGAAGGAGAGATGAAAGAAAAGAAATAAGGTGAGAAAAGAGTGAAGATGATAAGAAAGAAAGAAAGAAAGAAAGAAAGAAAGAAAGTAAGTAAGAAAGAAAGAACGTTGAATGGAAGATATTTGAAAGGGAGAAGGAGGAGTTGGAAGGAAAGAAAGAAGCAATGAAGAGAGGAAGGAGGAATAATAACAAGATTGGAAGTATCAAAGTACTTAGAAATGCAAAAATAAATAATCGTCTGTAAAAAGAAAGAATCTACTTATGAAGTAAAATTATTTGCCCCATACTCCTATCGGTTTTATTCACGTGTCATTGTAAAAAATCACTGCTCTCCACAGCTTTCTTTTTAAAATGTCTCTGAATTGTCATGTTTTCTTGGGAAATATAGTAGATTGGTTCACTAGTTACATTATTCGGACTATTGTCCTCATCTTTGTCGCCATGTTATCACAATGTTTCGACTGTTGTAAGCTCCGGCCTTCATCAAGTAGTTGGAATGTCGAACTGAAAGGACACATGGCACAGTGGATAAAGGCGTTAGTTAGATCCAGTGACAGGACCCAAAGAGTGTGAGTTCAATATCTAGTTAAGGCAGTGGGGAATTAACAGGAGATAACTGACATCCATTAGACATGGCACGTGGAACTAGAACAGTCTACCTCAATGAGCGAAATAAAGAGTTCAGTTCGACATTCCAACCACCTGAAGAAGGCCGGAGCGTACAACGGCCGAAACGTTGTGATAAATATGGGGACAAAGATAAGGACAATAGTCCGAATAATGTAAATAGTGTACATAATACATCATCTCAGACAGATATGAAGGACGAAACGTTGTAATAAATATGGCGACAATGATGAGGGTCCGAAAATGTTGTACATAATACCTCATCTCAGAAATATAGACAGATACTGAAAGGCCGAAACGTTGTAATAAATATGGCGACAATGATGAGGACAATAGTCCGAATAATGTAAATTGTGTACATAATACCTCATCTCAGAAATATAGACAGATACTGAAAGGCCGAAACGTTGTAATAAATATGGCGACAATGATGAGGACAATAGTCCGAATAATGTAAATTGTGTACATAATACCTCATCTCAGAAATATAGACAGATAGTAGACTGGTTACCCATCACCTGCCTCACGGTTTTTAATTCAGCATAGTTCTTCACCTAGAGTGGCTGCCAACCACGACGAAATACCCAAGTGTATCCTACGATTTACCCTCTAGCTGTCAGGAGAATTAATGTATTCATCCCTTTCCTAATCGCATTAGTACGTATGTAAAGCAACAGACTAGACTTAAACTTACTCGATTCCGTGCCGATAACCACTACATTAAACATACATCTCTTGTCTTTATTAAAAAATATATGAGAGAGCCACACTTTCAGATGTAGAAAGCAGTAGAACATTATGGATATATGTGTACAAGCTTAAGGATTAAGAGTATAAATAAAAAAATATATTCTTTTTGCAACTATTTGGAAAGACAAAATAACTTAAGTCTCACACACGTTGTTGGGAATCTATCGTATTTGTGAAATACGGCATCAAAATGTCTGATACCCTGGAGTTCAGAAAATTCACCAATATGTGAAAATCCTCAGTGGAAGGAAAATAAATATAAAAGTGTTGAAAATGATTTACTCGGGCATCAGAATGAAACGAGGTTGGCAATGATCTTCACAAAAACAAAGGAAAGATTTTTAAGAAAATGAAGACATTTTCGTTTGTCAAAGTGGGTGACTTTTCATTCGACTTTTAATTATTGAACATAATTAAATAATTATCAATTGAGGTGAACGCGAGGGATTTTCTTAGAAAAGGAGTTCCCCCTCAAATATTTCAGTAAGAATGTTTGCCTCTTAGTAAACACGCAGCCCTGAAACTGCTGGGAATGAACAAACAAAACCACTGTTTTAGTTCAATACCTGGTTAAGGCAGTGGAGAACTTGGAGTGGGAAATTAACAGGAGATAACTTATAACAGACATCTATTAAACAGGGTACTTGGAACTAGAACAGTCTACTCCACTGAGTGAAATAAAAGGTTCAGTTCGGCATTCCAACCACCTGAAGAAGGCCGGAGCGTACAACAGCCGAAATGTTGGAATAAACATGGCGACAAAGATGAGGATGATAATCCGAGTAATTTAAATAGTGTCCATGATTTTTGTCAGTTTTTTCATTCTGGGGCCTGCAGTTGTTGCGAGGCAAGCTAAGCAAATTTTGATTTCATTTGTAATTTCAAAGGAGTGCCAAAAATTTAATAAAATCAAACAAAAAAATTTTGATTTAAAATCTATTGGCGGGAATTAACATTTGCGATACGCAACTTTACATTTTTATGGTGGGGAGAGAGGAGAAATTAATTGAGAAAGATCATAAGAACGGAACATCATACTAAAGAATTGAACTCACTATTACAGTCGTAATTGATTTAGAGAGAGAGAGACAAGCTTTCTAACCATTACACTATCTCCGCTACTGATTGGATAATATTTTATTTTATATTTCTTCTGCATTTTACTTTCTCTTTTCTATTTGATATCTGTAAAAGTTTGCTTGTTTTTTTTGTGTGTTTTTGTCTATTATTAATTTGGTTCAGGATTTTTGTCTTTTTTGGCTGATAAGACAAAACGAGACTTTTTAGACGACGGCTTCTCACTGTGGGGGTTATTCCGACTGCTTTTATCCTTACATCTATCGTTCTCACGCTATAGCTGCAATTTTTAATTGGATATTTTGTTTTGGCTTTATTTAAACAATGTCGTTTTCTCGGTCGGCAGACAAACTTATCTCCCTAGAACAATTACAACATAACAGCGAGTTCAATCCTCACTGGGAGCCCTTGATATTTTTTCCGTGATCTGTTTAAATTTGGCTTTCCGCTTTTCCTTTCTATCTAATATCTTTTCAATTTCCTTCACCCCTTACATGATTCCCCTTGCTTTCTTTCCTTCTCTTTACTTCCCCATTTTTCTCTATTCATAGCCTCTTTCTTTACTTTCAGCTCTCTTTTTTCTTTGTTTTTCTCCCTTTCTTCACTTCCCCTCTTTCCTCCTGCCATTGCCTCTTTCTTTACTTTCAGCTTTCCTTTCTCTTTTTTCTTTCCTTCTCTTTACTCCCTCTATTTTCTCCTTTCACTCCCTCTTTCTTTACTTTCAACTCTCTTTTCTTTGTTTTCTTTCTTTCTTTCTTTCTTTCCGATCTCTCCTCCCCTTCTTTCATTCCCTCTTTCTTAACTTTCATATCTCCTTTTTCTCTTTTTCTTTCTTTCTTTCCTTCTCTTTACTTTCTCTCTTTCTTCCTTTCATTACTTCTTTCTTTACTTTCATCACGCCTTTCTCTCTTTTTATTTCTTTCTTTCTTTCCTTCTCTTTACTTCCTTTCTTTCCTTCTTCCAGTGCTTATTTCTTTCTTTTCATCTTTCTTTCTTTCTTTCTTTCTTTCTTTCTTTCTTTCTTTCTTTCTTTCTTTCTTTCTTTCTGTTTCACGCTTTCTTTCTGTCTTACTCTCCCCTCTTCTTCCACTTTTTCCTCTCTTTCTCTCTTCCCTGTTTCTATCCTTCCCTTTCTTTTTCCTTTCATTCTTCCGATCTTTACCTTCACCTTTGATATTTAAATTGACACCCGACGCGTGTCGCCATTATAACGACGCCATACCGAATACATTCTTCATTAACTCTCTCTCTCTCTCTCTCTCTCTCACACACACACTTTCTCTCTTTCTCTCTCTCTCTCTCTCTCTCTCTCTCTCAACTCTATTCTATTTTTCTATCTTTCTTTCTTTTCCATTTTTAATACCTCTGTTCTTCCCCTTGTGAAGGCTTATTTCTCTCTCTCTCTCTCTCTCTCTCTCTCTCTCTACCTCTCTTTCGGCAATTGTGTTTTACTCTCATTCTCTCTCTCCCCACTCTCTTTCTCTTTCGATTTCTCTGTCTCTTTTTCCATTGTATTATGTATCTAATTGCTTTCATCAATTTCATGTTTCTTTTTCCATCTCTTCGTTTTGCTCTCCCTCCTTCTGTCTCTCTCTCTCTCTCTCTCTATATATATATATATATATATATATATATATATATATATATGTGTGTGTGTGTGTGTGTGTGTGTGTGTGTGTGTGTGTGTGTGTGTGTGTGAGAATGGACAATGTCAAGCCTTTTTTGGTTCTCCTGGTATCGAACGAAGTCGTTTGATGTTGGTGGAAAATTTCCGAAATTGTGTGTAATTCTCTGAGTGCTTTCCGCCATTACTATTAAGTTACCACATTTAATTAAACCTCACAAACTGGAATGTGTAAGTTCGGCGAAGAAGTACATTAAAACTGAGTAATTTTTAGTGATGAATGTCGAACTACATTGGACGAATCTGACAGCCAGGCTAGAGTTTGGGTCGTCCAAGGAAATATTCAATCAACGCGACTTAGAAGTCAACATCAAGATTGGGAAGGGGATAATAACTTATGCTCGTATTATCGACCATAAAATTCTTTGGAAGTTGATGGTGATATCAAGACAAATGGAGATGATTCTTCAATATTTTACGGGACATATCGAAAGAAATTTGAGTCTATTTGTACATGACAGTGCTTGTTTTTCACGTTCTGAGATAATGCCCATAAACCCCCTCACCAAAAATGTATAAAACTAATGGAATGGCCTCTACCCTCACCAGTTATCAATCCAATAGAAAATGGGATCCATCATTAAAAGAGGTGTATATGAGAATGGAATAAAATATTCAAGCAAGGAAGCTCTCTGATAAGCAATAAAACTGTTGCAAATAAGGTTGAAAGGATACTGATGGCGCTTATCTCCGTTTGATGGAGATAAGTCACGTGGGTCACATGACGGTCACTTAGTGACGTCAGTCGATAAAGTGACTTTAGCAGCAGCCAAATTCGTTCGTTTACAGCAGCTAAATCATAACGTTGATTCCTTTAGTTCGAGCCCCCCTCCTACCACAATAGCCCGAACAAATGCTAAATGTTATTTCAGCAGCTTACACGTTCATGGCACTGTTTCCATTTAGGAATATATCTTTCCCATATATAGAAAGAAACTCCAGATCGCAGTCCTCAATTAGGAAAAATCAGTTCCCTGTTCGTGGAATACGTTCTACCCTGGTTCATAGATGAATCCGACCCGTTTGAATCTGGAGTCCTAAACATGGCTTCTCCAGACACAGATGTATCTCCATATTATATGTAAGGCCTCCCATTTTTGTTTCTCCTTACACTCTGCTCACTGTGTAGATTCCTCGCGTGGGGTGCGTGTATATATGTACATATCGTTTTGTGTATATCTTAGTAATATAAAAGGTCTACCTGAGAGCGAAGCATGTTTGTCATTTATTTTCCTTTCAGCCATTCAGTCCCGTCCGTAATATATGGTATTATTATATTATGGATATAATAATGCCCATAATGGGGAAAAAAGGAAATTGAGCGAATAAATCTTTCTTCCATAGCGCCGCCTGCTACAATGTTAAAAACGAAACTGGAGAAACGTTAACAAAGTCAATGAGTAAAAGACCATTGATAGTTATGTCAATAAGCCGATTATTAAGATATAAAATTAAAAAATAAAAATGTATTCTGGTGTATGGGATACTGTGTTAACCAAATATCTTTCTTTGATCTATATCTTTTTGTTTTATTTATTAATAGATATTTTGAACTTTACATAACAAAAACTAACACTCAGAATTCATATTATATATATATTTAATGATAATTCAAGTCATAAGCTGAAACTCACACATTATTCCTCATGTAAATATAAGTACATCATGAAAGTTTTATCGACATCATTGCTAAATACCGAGCTTATTGCAAAATATTTTACAAATTCGCGTCAGGCCAACTTTTGTCTGTGTATCCCCCACCTTATGTAAGTAGAACAAAACAGCATATCACTAACATATTATTAAGCAAGCAATCCTTTATATATACAGTAGTATCCCTGACAACCGGATTAAGAAGGTTTACCAGATATGAGGAATTATTAGGGGTTATATTTAGATCAAAATAAAATAACTAGAATCAGTTTTAACATTTATTTTCAATGTTTTATAGGAAACAAAATAAGCTAATGGTGAGTGAAATATAACGCAATTGATTTTAAGGAAAAAAGAAATAATTTATGTAATGTCAATGAAAATTCATTAAATTAAATATGCCACGTATGCAAAACAAATAATGTAACGAGGATTTTTTAATCGCTGTTGCATGATGATTCTTCCTCTTCAAATGTCATTCTCAACTTTTTCTGCATTTCGTTTTGCTTTTCTTCTTGAAATTTTTTTAAACGAAAGACACTTTTTTAAAACTCTGCGTGAGTTATTGCATCGTCATAGCTGAATGCTGGTTTTCTTTCCATAAAACTGACAACCTTTTCAATAGGTTTTTCAATTTCAGTCCAAGTTTCATCACAGTTATGCATCTCGTTGCTATCTTCTTACAAATGTGCCTCGTTGTCATCCTTTCCTCTTATTCCCATCATCTTTGGCACCAATACAAGCCATTAGGGTGAAATAAGTATAAGCAATTATCCAAAGTAAATTTCCTGAAAGACAGAAATTTCAAATCAGTTACATATCACCCAAATAGTTCAAATATACACATCAAAATCATGTCCGAATATGCGGGATTCCGGATATGAGGCACACCTCATATGAGGGATTCCGTATATGATAGATTCTACTGTATTACTAACAAGTGGTATTTACAATAAGCGGTAACATTTCATTTGTTTAACACTTTTTAAAAGCATATTTTATCAAATATTCCATCAGTGTTATTTATTTCTTATACATTTTTCTTGCCATATTTAAACAAGGTTTATCTCAATAAAGTTTTCTTAATTCATCCTCTTTGCATATAAATAATTTATAACTGTCTTGTTAAAATTCATTCGTAAAAAAAAAGAAAACTTACAACGCTCGTAATAATAAGCATCGCTGTCGTCTAACATTACAAGAAATTAGTTGAATGGATCCAAAAATGAAATATAGAATTATATAAGTCAAAATAATATGTTTAATAAGATATTCTTAATACTGTACTGAATTTGTTTAAACAATTGAAAAAATAGTAATTCTGCTGAAGTCATTTGCATTATTAATATAAACTTTAAAAAATATTTTTTTAAATTTCTCATGGTCACAGTAGGACATTCAAATACAAAAACAATTATAAAATAGATGTCTTGCCGAACGGATATGCAATGTGGTCGGTCCTGATCTGGCATCTCGTCTATAGTTACTTTCTCACAGACGTGATGTGGCTTCCTCTGTCTTTTCTACAAATATTTTCATGGCAATTGCTCTGACGAGCTACTTTCACTGGTACCACGACTGCATGAATTTAAGCGTGCTACTAGGTTGGCATTTCGGTCCCAACCTTTTACTGTTCAAACAGTTAAATGTAACCGTCTTTTCTACTCCAACTGCTTCTTCTCTCGCACTTCCAATCAGTGGAACTCCCTTCTTTTTCCTTGCTTCCCTGATCGCTATAATCTTCAAATATTCAAATGTAATGTCAATCGACATCTTTTGATGCCTTGATCCCGACCCCCGTCCTTCTCTTTATCTTTTCCTCAAACACCCCCCTCTTTACTCTTGCTCTCACTCTCTGTAACCCTTTCCGTGCAAGTGGCACTCCCGTATTGCTTAGGGCGAAATACTTAAAAAAATGTGTAGTTTATGCAAAGATTTTAGCGAAATAAGAGCACTTTTATGACAACTTTTCACTGCACGTTGGACGTGTATTTGACTTATAATAAATATGAAATCAGATCTGTCTATATTTCTGAGATGAGGTATTATGTACATTATTTACATTATTCGGACTATTGTCCTCATCTTTGTCGCCATATTTATTACAACGTTTCAGCCGTTGTATGCACCGACCTTCTTTAAGTGGTTGGAATGTCTAACTGAACCCTTTATTTGGCTCACTGGGGTAGACTGTTCTAGGTCCATGTGACATTAGGCTTATAATACCCAGAAATTCATACCCAGATGTCCTCAAGGACACATGGCACAGTGGATAAAGGCATTGGTTAGATCCAGTGACAGGACCCATTGTGAGTTCAATACCTGGTTAAGGCGAAGAACTTTCAGAGGTAAATTAGCATGAGATAACTGTTAACTGACATCCATTAAACATGGCACATGGAACTAGAACAGTCTACCCCAGTGAGAGAAATAAAGGTTTAAGTTCGACATTCCAACCACCTGAAGAAGGCCGGGGCGTACAACGGCCAAAACGTTGTAATAAATATGGCCACAAAGATGAGGACAATAGTCCGAGTAATGTAAACGTGAAATCAGATATCTGATATCTCAGACTATTATATCTATCTAGCAGTCTGTTTACCGGTGTTCACATAGATCTGTTGATGCTATTCAATGTGATGATAGGTTAGACTTAAACTCGGTCGATTATCGAGAAGTTTTGGCCTTTAAACAGTCAATACAAATGGTGACAGGCGAAATACTAAGTGTTTGACCCATCTGTTCTCTCCAAACACTTTCGTTTGAGGACGAACCCTTCCTTCAACAAATCACTTTTCCTGATGACCAAGTCGGTTCTTTCTTTCATATTTTTTTCTCCTTCTCTTGATCACACAAATCTATTCAATTGACTTTTATTGATAACTTAAATTTTCCATAGCCCACAGTGGATTCTCTTTCGTACAAAGCCTTCTGTTTGTGAAATCGAGAAAAAAAGCCCAGAGGTCGTGGGTCAAGTGATGGGCCTTATGGCATTATTAGGAAAGGGTGAGAGGTGTCAGGATCTGAATGTGTGCAATTGTTCGAA